GGGGACTGCTGGTCGAGAGTGTAGTCGAGCGAACCTGGGGCCACGTTCCAGATGTGCGCGAGGCACCGCCTACAAGCCCAGCCGGCGTTCCACCTCCGCGCATAAGATCCCATGGCGGTGGACCAGTACTGTCGTTGATGGGTGCTTCAGGCTCTGGGTTCCGCAGGAAACAGCCTAGCGCTGGGCGGGTCGCTGCCCGCTCCAACGAAGGTGATCCCGCTGGGCAGGTGTCACACCAGGCTGAGTAGGTGCCGGTGGAGTGTGACTCGAGACCGAACCTCCCGTCTGTCAGTTTGTGAGCAGGGCGGGTCGTGCCGGCTGCGCGGGGGCTGTAGGCAGGAGGGGCTTTCATAACGAGGTCGCGAAAGGTCGTAAGGGGTCGGGGCCATATTTGGTCGCCCATATCCGATCGGGAGCCGAGCCAGGGAAGGGAGTGCACTGGACTTCCTGTCGTGACGCGACTCTTCCAGGGTGCCCCTGTAGTGCTGCAGTCGCATAGCCAGCGACCTCATGTGGCCGCAGTCGCACGAGGCGAGAGGTGTCTCGATGCCCCTTCCTTCCACGGATTTGACCCAGCATCGCTCGCAGAGCCACTTGCAGTTCTTGCCACGCAGGTACGCTTGGGAGCGGTTCTGTGTTAGGAGGTCCCTTGTGTCATCGTCTTCCCCAGTGCCGGCCGTGGACTTGAATCCTCTTCTGCGGCAGTCGGCCCCGTCACAGTCGAAGCGGTCGTTTTCGAGGTCACAGCCGAACCTGTCGTCGGTCACCGTGGTGGGATCAGCAGTGTTCCGGGGGCCGGGGCGGCTGGGGAGTCTTCGTTGAACCGCGTGTTGGACATGGCGATGCCTCCTCCGATGTATTCCAGCGCTGTCATGGTGTCTGGGCATCCGAGTCCTTCCTCTGGCCCGCTGAGAGTGTTGCACGAGGCTCGCGCAGCTGGATCATCATGACGACTAGGAGAACTCTGAGCGAAGGGGTGTCCAGGGGGCTGCCATCGCTGCTGACGAGGGAGCGTGTTAGCACCGAGTTGGCTTGGCCTGCTTGGAGAAGGGACTTTAGGTGTTGCATTCCTGGGTGGGCGCGGTGCCTCTTACATCTCCCCGTGTCGGCGCTCCATGCCCCGGTGAACTGGTGCAAGTTCTCGGGGGGGTGCACCGGTTGGCATCCTTTGGGCGGTGGCTGACGCCCTCCTCGTCCTCCTCCTCCTCGTCCTCGTCGTCGTCGTCCTCCTCCTCCTCCTCCTTTGACGCTGTTTTGCGCGCCTATGGCATCTCCGCTATTTCATTGCGTCGTGGTGCACACATAATTCACCTCATTCGGGTTTAACAATGGGCAG